TGCCTACAGGAGACATGCCCCCACCAACAACCTCCCTGTGGTGACGCCAACACTTCCACCCACCGCAGCATGATTGTCAACCTGGCCACAGAAGACACCCAAACAGCCTCCTCATGGTGACCTTAACTTCCCCTCCACCTACAAACCACTGTCCTACAGAAGATGCCCCCCAACACCCTCCTGTAGTGACATGAACTCTGCCACAGCTGCCTCATCCCAAGGGGATGTCAAACCCCCACAGCTATCCCACAGAAGACACCCCCTGACACCGACCCAGTGCCAGTGGTGCCAAACCTTCCACAGCCGCGTCACATGGAGGGGATGTTAGCCCCCCCAAGAAACACCCCTCCAAGAGCAGCCCTGTGGTGATGTCAACCCGCCCCCCACAGCTACTCCATAGGAGACTGTCACCCCAACAGTCATCCCATCTTGACATCAACTCACCCACAGCTACTCCCCAGGAGACCCCCGCCCCAACAGTCACCCCATCCTGACATCAGCACCCCAGAGCTACTCCACAGGAGACCCCTGCCCCAACAATCACTCCATCCTGACATCAGCACCCCAGAGCTACTCCACAGGAGACCCCTGCCCCAGCAGTCGCCCCATCCTGACATCAACTGCCCCACAGCTATTCCACGGGAGACCCCCGCCCCAGCAGTCGCCCCATCCTGACATCAACTGCCCCACAGCTATTCCACGGGAGACCCCCGCCACAGCAGTCGCCCCATCCTGACATCAACCCCTCAACAGCTGCCTTGCAAAAGATTCTTCCCTCATAGTGATGCCAGGCCACGCTAGGCTCATGGCGACAGCAACCCCCCTAAACATCCACTCTATGGTGACTTACCCTGTCTGCCGCCCCACAGAAGAACTCTCACCCACCTAGTCACAAGTGGCACCATTCCCCATCCCCACCTGTGCCTCCTCAACAGATGCCCCGCTGTGACATCAAGGCAACCCTGGCCACCACATAGGGACGTCAACTCCCGTGCAGCCAACAGCGCCGCCCTGTAACAACTACCGCCCCCTGCCCCCCCCCCACTCTCCCAACAGTGCCACCCCTTTGCCGCAGAATTGTGTGGGAGGTAGCGTGTTTGGGCCAGAGTGAAAATGGGTCGGCCAGGGGTGCAGGTTGCATGGCCCATATATGATCGTGAGCCTGACACAAGCCATAACCTTGGTGCACAAGATGAGGCGGGTTGGGGGCAGATCCTGAGGCAGAGCCCCAGCCCCCCGCTTTGTCTGAGCTGAGCAGCTATGGAGATGCCTAGGGCCTGGGCTCTGCACCTGGGGTCAGGAATGGCCCTTGTGTTCACTCACTGCTCCCCCCTCAGGCTCACGGACCATGGAGGAGAGCGGCGACCCCTCCGCCACGGCAAGGCCACGCATTCAGTGCTGCCCCTCGGACTCCACCACAGATGACGGCAGTGCCCAGGACGAATGTGCCCCACCTGTCCCCGCCCGCTCCCCGACCTGTGCCCGCTGCCGCAACCATGGCATCCGGGTCCTGCTCAAGGGCCACAAGAAGGGCTGTCAGTACCAGGGCTGCCAGTGTGACAAGTGCATCCTCATTCTGTACGTGCCGGGGCATTCTCCCCACGGAGTCAGTGCCGAGCCCAAGACTAGGGGCACTGTGCTGCAGGGAGCAGGGTGGGGGCTCAGTAAGGGGCACCCTCCCCTGGCAGTCAGGGCTGGCCCAATGCCCCAGCGTGGTTCTGGGGGGGGCTCTCCTCTGGCAGTCAGAGTTGGCCCCAATGCCCCAGCATAGGGCTGGGGGACCGGTGCTGCAGGGAGCGGGGTGGGGGGGCTCTCCCCGGCAGTCAGTCTGCCCCAATGCCCAATTTTAGGAGACACTCGTGGGGGAGGTCTGGGTTTGCACTGCCTTCTCTCTGCTCCCCTACAGGCAGCGCCGGCGTATCATGGCTGCCCAGGTGGCCCTGCGCAGGCAGCAGGAGACGGAGCTGAGGAAGCAGCTGGCCAGGGGTTTGCTGCGGCTCAGGGATGGCTGTGCCACGGCCTCTCTGGGCTTGGCCAATCCCTGCGAAGGGGCCAAGCCAAAGGAGCAAGCAGCCGCAGGTGTGTATCTACTCCCCACCACCTGCAGACGGGCTAATGGCCCCCTGCTCACTTCAGGGCGACATCAGAGCTCACATCCAGCTTCTCTTCACACGCTCTCCTCCTTCCGCAGCCGCAAAGGAAAATGCCGAGCCAGGCTCCACGGCTGGACATACCCATCAGGGGACTGCAGGGCCCACCGACCACCGGAGTCATCAACCTGCCAGAAGGGTGATGAGGGGGAAGAGTATTGCATGTGGCCCCGAGGTGCTGGGCCTGATAGGATTGGAACTGGTGCCCCATAGAGGGGAAGGCCCCATAACCCAACACCCCCAACTCACCCAGTCCTTCTAACCCCAGTATGGATTGGAGTTGGTTAGGGTTACCATTTTTTAAAATAACAAAAAGAGGACACTCCAAGGGGCCCCGCCCCTGCCCCCTCTCCGCCCCCTTCCCCGCCCCGGCCCCACCCCAACTCCGCCCCTTCCCCAAAGTCCCCGCCCCAACTCCGCCGCCTCCCTTGAACGCTCTGCCCCCCTGCTCCTCCCCCTCCCCTGCTTCCCGCAAATCAAATGTTCGCGGGAAGCCTGAAACAGGGAGGCAGCAGGTAAGCTGGGGCGGGGGGGGGGCGAGGAGGCGCAGCCCAGTCTGGCCCCCTGGCCGAGCAGCTCGGGCCCGGCTTGGCTCGGGGCCTGGGGTGCGAGCCCCAGTTCCAGCCGAGCACGCCAGCCCCGGCCCGCCCCGGCCCTGGCGGTTCCAGCTCGGCTCGGGCCCCAGGGCACCGGCCCCAGCCGAGCGGCTCTGGCCCGGCACGGCTCGGGCCCCGGGGCACCGGCCCTGGTTCCAGCCGAGCGCGCTGGCCCTGGCCGTGCGGCTCCGGCCCGCCCCGGCCCCGGCGGCTCCAGCTCGGCTCGGGCCCCGGGGCACAGGCACTGGCCCCAGCCGAGCAGCTCCAGCCCCGGGGCACCGTCCCCAGCCAAACGGCTCCGGCCCCGGGGCACCGGCCGAGCGGCTCCGGCCTCGGCGACTCCAGCTCGGATCGGGCCCCGGGGCACCGGCCCATCCGGCCCCGGCCCCGGCCGAGCGGTGCCGACCGGCGGCCAAGCACCGCCGGCCCCAGCGGCTCCGGCCCCAGCACGGATCCAAGCCCCACGACCCCTCCCTATTTTCCCGGACATGTCCGGCTTTTTGGAATTTCCCCCTGGACGGGGATTTGACGACCAAAAAACCAGACATGTCCAGGAAAATCCGGACGTATGGTAACCCTAGTCAGTTGGTGCCCCATAGAGGGGAAGGCCCCATAACCCAACACCCCCAACTCACCCAGTCCTTCTAACCCCAGTATGGATTGGAGTTGGTGCCCCATAGAGGGGAAGGCCCCACAACCCATTCCATCACCCCCCAGGCCCATCCAGTCCCACTAACCTTGGTCTGGATTGGAACCAGCACCCCCTAGAGGCAAAAGGCCCCTTAATCCATTCCACATGCCCCCAGAACCATCTAGTCCTGCTAACCAAGGTGCCCCTGGAAGGGAAAGGGCCCATATCCCATTTCTCAATTCCCCTTGACGCTGCCAGTCCCCTGATGTGGGGAATTCCCTTACAGAGGGGTTTGAGCTCCTCCGTGTGATCAGGCTGCTGCATCCCAGGGTTTGCTGTTTCCAAGCAGCTGCCTGTTTCCTGAGTCGTATGCACGTGTCCTCTGCATTGCTTTCTAGGAAAGCCCTTGGCTGCCTCTTCCCCACCAGCCTGAGGTGACTCAGCTGCCCTGGCCCCTTGGAGAATGCCAGCCACCCTACGCACCTTGGTTCCTGCCAGCTCTTCCCCTGCCACCACCCGTCCTCTGCCAGGCGTTGCCCCAGGAGCCTCCCCTTTGCTTCTCAGCTCACCCAGGTGAGTAGCCCCATCTCCAGGATGACACGAATACAAGCCCCGGGGCCTAAGTGCCCTCTGGTGTTTCCTTGTCTCTTTACGATGCAGGATGAAAGGTTACAGACAGGGCGGGGAGGATTGGTCTGGACTCAGGGGCTCACTGGTCTGATCTGGGGGTCAGGGATATGGAGGTGCTGAGATTCTGAGGTGGCAGGGATAGTGGGAGGATACCAGGCCGTGGGTCTGACCAGTCACAGCAAGAAAAGGGAGTGATACCTGGCTAGCCGAGGCCACTGGCCTGCTCTGGGGCGAGGGATACTGAGCTAGATGACTCTGTGGGTTCTGTCAGTGCGACAGTTCCTCTGTAAAGCTGGGCACAGCCAGGCTGCGGCTGTGCAACTCTCCTTAGCCGGGAGGAGAATGCATCACCTTGTCAACAGTGCCCGTAGCCCCAGCTGCCTCCACTGCTAGCTGCTCAGCTCTGACTGACATCAGCTCGTATTTGTCTGGCAGGTTGTGATGGCGGCAAGGTGACACATGCCCCAGAGGGTCTCGTGGCAGTCCCAGGACGGCTGCTCCAGCAGGCACCAAGCCCCCCCTGGCTCCCACCAGCAGCCTCTGCATCCACTGAACTGCTTGGGTGTGTATTTCTGCAGGGCCAGCAGCCCTGCCTGGAGCACGTTCACAGCGTGTAAAAGAAGCAACTTGAAATCACATGGGAAACGACTTCTGAATTGGAGTATTTCAATATCTGCGGGCTGGAGGCAGCCTAAGATACTCCAGAGCCATCCCCTTTCCTGCCTGGTCCCACTAAACACCAGCCTAGACCAGTTCTACTCTGTAAGCAGCAAACCCAACACCTGCCCCCGGAACAGAGCTGTGTGGTGAGAGAGCAGCCATGTTTACACATACCAATAGCCACACGTCTGGTTAATCACACATGGGGAGGGCTTGGGGGCTAGCCAGAGGCTAAGGCAATCCACCTATTGGTCCCCGTGGTGAAGACAGGGGGCCTCCATCAACTTTCAACCCTCAGTGCAGGTGTAGCAGTGCCACCAGCCTGATCTAGTTTCAGGCTAGCTGCTGCCTCAGTTCCCCCTCATGCAGGTTGGATCTCCCAATTATCCAGCCTGCTTTGGCTGCTGCAGCTTCTTCATTCTGCAGCTAAGACATAAAAGAAACAAGTCCACCCCTTCCGGGGGTTCAAAATAAGGGCTTGTCTACACTGGCAAGTTTTGTTGATGAAACTAATATCAACATGAAAAAATCGACAAAAGCAAAGTCGCCAAAGCGAGTCTACATTCCCCCCCCCCCCCCGTCGACAGATCATGTCCACATTCGGGGCACCATTATCGACAGTGTGAGCAATGCACTGTGGGTATGTATCCCACAGTGCCTGGTGACACCATCTGTCGCTAGGTGTTGTGGGAAGGCAGAAACGGAGCACGGCACATCCTGGGACGTGCAAAATGTCCCGTCATGCACCGCTTTGTGTCCCAGCCCTCCAATGGCTTCTGGCTTCCTTTTGCGCCATTTTTCCAATTGTCAGTCTTTATAGTGCGCGCCAGCATCTGCAGTGAGAGAGGATGGATCCCGCACTTCTCTCCTATGTGCTGTTAACTGTCGTGAAGACATCGCGCATGGCAGTAGAGTTACTCGCAAAGTTACTGACAGAGGATGAATCGCAGGCACCCGAGTGCGATATGGACAGCAGCAACTTATCAGTGCTTTTGGCATTCACAGAGCAGCTGCATATGGTAGACTGTCGCTTTTGGGCTAGGGAAACAAGCACTGATTGGTGGGATCGCATTGTCATGCAGGTGTGGGATGAAGACCAGTGGGTACAGAACTTTCGGATGCATAAAGCAACCTTCGTGGAGCTGTGTGCTGAGCTGACCCCCGACCTGCGGCGCAAGGACACCAGATTGAGAGCTGCCCTTTTGTCAGAGAAGTGTTTTGCGATCGCTGTGTGGAAGGTAGCAAATCCAGACTGCTACCGGTCAGTCGCAAATCAATTTGGAGAGGGGAAGTCCACTGTTGGGGCTGTATTACTCCAAGTGTGCAGGGCAATAAATCGCATCCGGCTGCGGAGGACCGTGACTCTGGGAAATGTGCATGAAATAGTGGATGGCTTTGCAGAGATGGGTTTCCCTAACTGTGGCGGGGCGATTGATGGCACACACATTCCAATTTTAGCGCCAGACCACCTTGCCTCTGAGTACAGCAATAGGAAGGGATACTTCTCCATTGTGTTGCAGGCGCTTGTGGATCAACGGGGGTGTTTCACGGACATCAGTGCAGGCTGGTCTGGAAAGGTGCATGACGCACGCATCTTCAGGAACAGTGGCCTGTACAGAAAGCTGCCGGCGGGGAATTTCTTTCCAGACCTCAAGATCACAGTGCGGGATGTGGAAATGCCCATAGTAATCCTGAGAGACCCGGCTTACCCCTTACAGCCCTGTCTCAGGACAGCAGCAAGGAGCATTTTAACAGGCTGAGCAGGCACCGCATGGTAGTCGAATGTGCCTTTGGCCACTTGAAAGCTCGCTGGAGGTGTCTCAATGGCAGGCTAGACCTTACCGAGGATAATATTCCCGGTCATAGCCGCGTGCTGCACTTTGCCTAATCTGTGTGAATCTAAGGGTGAAATGTTTGCTCAGGTGTGGACAGGGCCGGCTCCAGGGTTTTTGCCACCCCAAGCGGTGCAACAAACAAACAAACAAACAAAAGCCGCGATCGCAATCGCGATCTGTGGTGGCAATTCGGCGGGAGGTCCTTCGCTCCGAGCCGGAGTGAGGGACCATCCGCCGAATTGCCACCGAATAGCTGGACGTGCCGCCCCTCTCCGGAGTGGCCGCCCCAAGCACCTGCTTGGCAAGCTGGTGCCTGGAGCCGGCCCTGGGTGTGGAGCACTGAGGCAGAGCGCTTGGCTGCACAGTTTGAACAGCCAGATGCTAGGGCTGTCAGAGGAGCCCAGAGGGCTGCTATTAACATCAGAGAGACTTTGAGGAACCGCTTGGACAATGAGGGGCACTAACACATGTCTGCTTTGGAGTTGCTTCTCTGGTGCATCCATGTACAATTTTGGGGCCCAAGATCTATGCAACAAAATGATTTAGAAGCCTGTTCCCGAGAGTGAATTGATTGCTATACGCCTTTGTAGAACACAGAATAAAAACGCTGTACCATTAAATACCTTGGCCTTTATTTATTGTTAAGAAGGGTAAAACCTCACAACTGTGTGTAGCTCCAGCTATCATTGTGCAAGCTGTGAGAGGGGTGTGGAGTGATGGGGAAACTCAGGAGTGCTGTGAAGTACAAAGGAATGTGTGGGCACAGAGGGGGGTGGGGTTGGCAAAGAATTGTGCATTTGCATGTGCTGCAGTGGAGGTCGACCACGGACCTGCTCAGTCTGCAGCTGCATCAAAGACTTGAGAATCTCTGTCTGATCCTCCATCACTTTTATCATCCGCTCTGTTGCTTGCCTAGCAAATACTGCATTCTTTATTCTGTCCCTGGTCTGTCTCTCATCGCGCTGCAGCACTTCCCTGAACATGTCGTCTTTGCTGCGTCTCGGCTTCTTCCTTATCTGCTGAAGCCAGTCGGCAGGGGTGCGTGGTGTGTTCCTCAAGGTCTCGGCTGCTGTGGGACAATTCACAGAAGAGGGACTGTAACATTCCAGCAAACGATTGAAACATTTCAGTAACAAGGGCCTTTTGCAACTAGTAGCTATCACTTTCTCACGGAGTCTAGGCAGGCACACAGCTCCGCAAGCACCCCAATCATGGTGAGTGTCGGGAGTGGGGGGAAGGCGGTTGTGCGTACAGACAAAACGGTCACGGCTTGCAGGACAGCTTTGCAGGGAACTCATTCTAAAATGATCCCACACTTTTTCACAGGCGGCCAACTGCTGGCTGACATCTCGCTGCTGCAGGTTGACCAGAGAAACCAGGGCACAGCTGCTGAATGCTTGCGGCTTTCACCCCGGTCTATATGCAGCTCAGCTATGTGCCGCTTTGGTCCCAGCCCCAGTGATTGCTAAATGGCAGGGGACAGTTTCCTACAATGGGGGAAACTAACAAGGCTGCAATCCCTTGGAATCTGCGGCAGAGGATTAACAAGTACCTCTTGGAAACTTTCCAGAACCTCTCTCTGGAAGATTCCCTGCAGCTCTCGATGTCCATCAACACCCTGCTTAGCCATGCAGATTAGCTACACAGGGCAATGTCCAGCTCACAGAGAACACTACGTGCCTCCCACTTTTTGATTCCCTACACAAGCCACAGCAACTTACCCGGCGTCTCATCTGCTTCCTGCTCCCCGTACAGCACTTCTGGAGAAAAGTTCCTGGCTGCCTGCCCCACTGGGCGACCTTGATGGGAGATCCACGTACTCTTCTAGCTCGATTTCTTCATCCAGAATTTCAGCCTCCGGGTTACCCCCTCTTTCTGCTGCCTCCGAAGTATCCATGGGACAATCGGCGATGGAGGTGGGGTCACCACGGAGGATAGCATTCAGCTCCTTAGAGAAGTGGCAGGTCTTAGGTGCACCACCGGAGCGATGATTTGCCTCCCACGCTTTATGGTACGCCTGCCTCAGCTCCTTTATCTTCACTCTGCACTGCTGTGTGTCCCAATCATAGCCCTTTTCACACAAGCCTCGAGAAATTTGCCCATATGTGTCCCGATTCCTACGGGTCACTCGCAGCTGCGACTGAACAGACTCCTCTCCCCATATACTGATCAGATCCAACAGCTCAGCGGTGGTCCAAGCAGGCGCGCGTTTGGTGTGGTAGCCAGCCATGCTCACCTGGGAAGCCGGCAAGCAGGAAATGAGATTGAAAATTCCCGGGGCTTGCAAGGGGGAGGAGCAGGTTGGCAGCAGGGCAGTGGAGTTCAAACTGCTGACCAGAGCGGCAGCATGGGAATTGTGGGACACTTTCCGGAGGCCAATAAAATCGAAAAAAAAAGGCATAGTGTCTACACTTGCTGTTTGTCGACAATAAAGGGAGGGGAAAAGACAAAAGTCTCTTGCAGGGGTGAAAGTTTTTTGTCACCAAAAATGGGCGGGGTTTTTTGACAAAAGTCCCATTGCAGTGTATACGCTATCGCTGTTTTGTCGCCAAAAGGCAGTTTTTGGCGACAAAACTTGCCAGTGTAGACAAGCCCTAAAAGTCTTCCCCGCCCAGTCTCAAGCTGGGCACAGCACTCCTTCCTGAGGGTCTGTCCTCTCTCCCCTGGCCTCCCACCCCAAGGCTCTCCAGAGCAGTGGTTTTCAAACTGTGGGTCGCGACCCAGTACTGGGTTGCAGAATGTAAGGCACCGGGTCGCGGCGGCTCTGGTCAGCACTGCCGACTGGGCCATTAAAAGTCCCATCAGCGGTGCTGCCCGACTAAGGCAGGCTAGTCCCTACTTGTTCTGACACCTTGCTGCACCCCGGAAGCGGCCAGCAGCAGGTACGGCTCCTAGGCGGGGGGGGGGGCCACAAGGCTCTGCACGCTGCCCTCACCCCGAACACCGGCTCCGCACTCCCACTGACCAAGAGCAGCTCCGTTGGGTCATGGGCATCAACAATTTTCTTCAGCTGGGTCACCAGAAAAAAAGTTTGAAAACTGCTCTAGAGCCTCCCTTCTCTTTCTCCATAGGCTTCTGTCAGAGGCCTGATCTAGCCACATGACCTGCCTGTCATCATGTGACTTTGCTAATTTTCTCCACCTGGGGAGGTGAGCTAAGGGTGTCACACATGCCTGGAACCATCTCCTCTTAAAGGGCCAGAGGTTAATGTGGCTCTAGCTGGAAAGATTTCCATAGAGTGCTGTTACCCCTTCTTTCAGCACTGGTGTCTCATTGCCAACATCAGCATTACCCCTCGGCTTTGCAGGTCACCTTCCTCGTGGAGGAGAAATCAGTGACATGGAGTCTGGGTATTCTCTATGGGTAACATCTTTTATTTGCACTGCATGCACCCAGTCCTGGAACAGAGCTTGTCACTGACATCTGCACAGACGAAACTAACCCCACAGTATTTCTCCAAAGGCTGAAAACTTGCTCGCACATTAAGAAAAAAATAACCTGTAAGACTCTGTGTATATGCTTCCCAGCCAGAGCCATCTGGTGTCTCCCACCATGACAGTTTATTTGTAAATGTCATGGGAAAGCCAGGGACCCGGCATGGGAGACGGGCCATAAACAGACACTGAAATGACTCTCCCCAGCCAGCGGCTTTTGGTTCAGCAGACTTAGAGTGAGAGACAAGCTGCCAAGCACAGCGTTTTCTGATGCACTGTCTCTTGCCTGTTCCAGCCGCCTGGCGCTGAGTCCCTTGGATGGGAACATGGATTTGAGCAGCCACCTGGAGTCGACACTGCCAGGAGCCCAGGTGCGTAGCTCTGAGATCTGTCCTCCTCAGAGGGCTGAGATATGGCAGCCGAGAGACCCCCTTTTGTGTCCCCCGTGATGCTGACACATGCTCCCTCAGGGGACGGTTGTAAAGCTCAGGCATCCATCCCGGACTCGGCTGGCTCTCTTCTTCCTTTCCAGTATGTGTCCACGGCTTCCCAGGGCCTCAGCCGGCCCCCGAGGAGCGTGAGTCCACTGCACAGGAACGTGTTGTGGTGCTCCAGCCCCAGCACAGTGATCGGAACAGAGAGAGAGACGACTGGGCATCTTTCATTCAGCGCCGACCTGGGGCTGGACTCGAACTGCAGCCTCCTGTAGGGGAAAGGCCCCATGGCTCATTTCCCAAGAACCAGCCAGGGCCCCGTATCCCAGCCAGCCAGCTCCACCCTCAGCAGCTGTGTAATGGGGGGATACTATTGGGCTGGGGTGCCTATGTCCTGATCTCAGCTGGATCCGCGTGCCTGTCCCTCCCCTGATGTGGGAATCGTCTCTTCGCTCTCTTTCAGCTTCCTTTCTCCTCGGCTCACCTCCCGCTCAGGTGCACCAGGGGGCTTGTCTTCTCCCCCGTCTCCGAAGAGCAGCTGCAGAAGGAGGCTGCCGAGGCCTTGATGGTGCTGAGAAATTCCCCCCATCTGGCCCCCTCTGCTGCCATGCCAGACTTCCTGCCCCTCGCTGGCGCTGCACCCCCCTTGCTGGCCTTTCCTGCTTTCACCCCTCCCCCTGGAGACCCCGGTAACATGGGGGCATCTGATCCCACCCAGCAGCAGGCCCTGAAGGCCCCTGGTGACAAGGCTGGTGCTGGTGGGCAGCAGGGCTCGGGACGTGTGCTCCCCCCTTTGCTGCGCTGCAGCACTCTTCCTCAGTCATGCAAGAACTTGCGCCTGGTCTCGACGGTGCCACCCTGGGGGCCCCAGGCAGCCACAACCCTGATGGTTTCCAACATCCAGGTCTTCAAACCTAGTTCCAGCCCCCGGGGGATTCCCCATCCCGCCCCTTCTGACTCCCTGGGCTCCACTCCACAGACCCTCTGCCTGACACAGGCTGCGGATCCCGGTGGGATTCCAGAGACAGCTGCGTCCGCCCCGGATCCAGCTCGCGCTGCCTCTGCTCTCAGCAGCCCTCGGTCCCTGCCCTTGTGCGCCCCTCCCGCAGAAATGCCCATCTCCCCGCTGCCCACACAAAGCCCCCCTGTCATGGTGGAAGTGCACACGCTCCCCAGGCTGTCCTTACTGACTCCCAGCCCATACCTCATTCCCCACCAGTCCCTCCCAGACACTGTGCTTGCCCCACGGTTCAAGTCACAGCAAGGCCCTGCAAGCCAGGGGAGCGGCAGTGGCAGCAAGGGGCAGGTGGCAGAGGAGAGGAGCAGAAGCAGGGCACCTGGGACCTGGAGCCTGGCAGGTACAGTGCAAGCCGCTCGGCTGGTCCCATCACTGAGGGCACGTGTCCGATTACTGACCCTTCCCACCAGGGGTCCGGCCTGCTCAGGCACAGAGACCCAGCACACTCAGCTCCCACTCACAGACCACTGAACGGCTGTACGATCAGAACAGCGTTCACTCCTGAGCCCACCAGGACAGCACTGAAACTGGTGCCCCCAGAGGGAAAAAGCTCCATGTCCCATTGCCCACCCCCTGAGCTAGCCAGTCCCCCTGGTAGGGTGAGCAGGTGTCCGGAACACCCGGTCAAAAAGGGAACCTGGCGGCTCCAGTCAGCACCGCCGACCGGGCTGCTAAAAATCCGGTCGGTGGTGCTGTGGAGCTAAGGCAGGCTAGTCCCTACCAGTCCTGACTCCGCGCTGCACCCTGGAAGTGGCCAGCAGGTCTGGCTCCTAGGCAGGGGGCCCATGGGACTCTGTGCACTGCCCCCACCCTGAGCACCGGCTCCGCACTCCCACTGGCCAGGAACCGCGGCCAATGGGAACCGTGGGGGCGGTGCCTGCGGGTGAGACCAGTGCATTGAGCCACCTGCCATGTCTCTGCCCAGGAGCCGGACCTGCTGGCCGCTTCTGGGGCGCAGTGCAGAATCAGGACAGGCAGGAAGCCTGCCTTACCCCCATGTGCCGCTGACCAGGAGCCGCTGGAGGTAAGCCCGTGCCCCAACCCTGAGCCCCAACCCCCTGCCCCAGCCCTGAGCCCCCCTCAAACTCAGAGCCCCCTCCTGCACCTCAAACCCCTCATCCCTGGCCCCACACCAGAGCCTGCATCCCCAGATAGAGCCCTCATCCCCCTGCCCCAGCCCAGA